CCAACTGTACTCTGGGCTGCATCGGGAGAAGCGTGGCCAGCAGGTCAAGGGAGGTGATTCTGCCCCTCTACTCTGCTCTGGTGAGACCTCACCTGGAGTACTGCATCCAGCTCTGGAGCCCTCAGCACAAGAAGGACATGGAACTGTTGGAGCAGGTCCAGAGGAGGGCCACAAAAATGATCCGAGGGCTGGAGCCCCTCTCCTATGAGGACAGGCTGAGAGAGTTGGGCTTGTTCAGCCTGGAGAAGAGAAGGCTGTGGGGAGACCTGATTACGGCCTTTCAGTACCTAAAGGGGGCCTATAGGAAAGATGGGGAAAATCTTTTTAGTAGGGCCAGCTGTGACAGGACAAGGGGGAATGGTTTTAAACTAAACCAGGGTAGGTTTAGGCTAGATATAAGGAAGAAATTCTTTACAATGAGGGTGGTGAAACACTGGAACGGGTTGCCCAGAGAGGTAGTGGAGGCCCCATCCCTGGAAGCATTCAAGGCCAGGTTGGACGGAGCTCTGAGCAACCTGATCTAGTTAGCAGTGTCCCTGCTCACTGCAGGGGGGGTTGGACTAGACGACCTCTAGGGGTCCCTTCCAACCCAAAACATTCTATGACTCTATACATCTTACTGTCCACATCAAAGAGATCACGATTTTTGCAGGCAGACATATTAACAGCTAAAATGTGACAGTTCAATATTCAGATTACTGTGAAAAACATTTCATTAGATGTTCATTGTGTTTCTTTTTGGTGTTTGGAAAGCCCACAATGAAGCATGCCCTAAGTACCAGTGGTAGAGCATTTCACATTCTTACGTTACTATTTAGTGTTGATTAACCATTACATTGAATGAACACTCACCACCTCATCTGTGAAGCACCTTTCTCCTAACTGTAAAGTCTGTCTTTTGTGAATTCTTTAGGTGATGGTTTTCCATCACATATCACTTGTCATTTATCAGTTGTCTTGCTGTGACTTTCACTCACTCAGTAACTTTGCTGTTAGGCAAATTCTTTCCTTAAGGGGTGGGTTAGATTTCCTCATATTTTAAAACCTAAAATAAAAATTCACTACAGAAAACCTTTATGGTTCTTCATTGCACTTGGTTATTTAGGCTGAAGAATCACTATTCTTCTAACTAGTGCTTTATAATAACTAAACCTATACTAAATTCTCCACATTTAAAAGCACAGGCATTATACATTTGGATGACAGAACACCAGAACTGACCAAAAGTCTGATCAGCATAATATAACTTACTACTACTAAGATGTGCTTTTCTGTCACTTTAATACAAATTCTTTTATATGTCGTACGTACTACCTCCAAGTCCCAGCCTTTCTGAGATACTGTTCTTTGCTGTCTCTAATTAGAGGCTACCACCAAGAAACTCCTGTACGAAGCTTAATTATGAACACATAATGAACAGCTTTTTAAAAAGGAGAAATAGGGGGGGTTAAGTTTATACTATTCTTTGGGTGCCATCCTTTCTTAACGCCACTAGATGCCACTCTCCTTCCTGCCTATAACTGAAATACTGCTTCTTCCCTAAAGGATCACACCAGCACATGAGCTAACACAGTTGAATTTTCCAAACTATTCCAAGAAGGATGAGTAACAAAGACTGCCGTAATTTTTGTTTCCAATTTCTGCCCAGGCAGAGGTTTGTTCGCCTGAATTTTCACCAGTGTAAGTGAAATATCTGACAGCTATTTTGTACCCCCAAAGCAGAAGCACCTAAAAATCAGAGCTGCCTTGTAATCAGGTATTACTAAGCAGATACCTCAATGTCTACTTGACTATGGTGCTGTTTTCTGTCTGAATGTATTTCAGTTAATGGACAAAACAATGCAAGTAGAAAAGCATTCAGACTTTTTAAGACTGATACAAAACAGCTTCAGGAACAAAGTCAGAGCCACTAACAATGTGCCTGAGCTCCAGCTCCCCAGTAAACGTCTGTGTCTGGTTTTGGAACAGAAAGAGCAAAAATAAATTGCAGAATAAAAACCTAAAGCAATTTTGTAAAGAGAAACAGTGACTGCCTTTCAAGATAAAGAAGGGTTGCTTAGGGAAACCAAGCTGACAGCTGCATGTCTGAACACACCAAACCCTAAGCTTCAGTTGAGTAAACAATTTAGCTTATTTAAGACACTACCTTTTCTCAACAGGTGAATTTAAAATCCTTTCTATGAATATTTCCCTTGCTGTTAACAGGGATTATGCTTTGGGTTTTTTGCTGTCTTGTTTAGTCTTTGTATACCACGGAAGAATAGCAGGTATTTGAATTCTGTATGCAGCACTGTGCAAATACAGCTTGCCAGGGTACAGTTGCCCAAGTCCTTATTTAGACAGAGACTAATTGCAGAATTCCAGCCCGTGGTAGGAATGTCTGAGCAGGCCTTGGAGATCAGAGTAGGAAGTAAGGCACAGAGCTAGATAAGTATGCAGTAAACATGAATTTCATTATAAGCCATTTCTTGTATGGTGGCAAGAGTCAACAGATAAGGTTTTATTCTAACTTGCTTGAAGTTCGTCAGATTCATTTTTAGGTTCACAGTTTCATGACTTGAGCAAATCCACACAGAAAGAGATATAAAATACATTGACATTGCCAAGTCAGCTCTGACATTTGTAACTTTCAGGGCCTCCATTCACCCATTTCTCCACTAAAAACACCTTTCTTCAGGTGAGAGAAATCATTAATTATATACATTCTCAAGCTACCTGATAACTCCTAATATTTAGGCACTCAAAAAGGAGAGCATTCTTAAAAAAACCAATACCAAAACACTAAATCAATCATCCAGTCTCCAAAATGCAAAAGGAGCACATCATTCAGTCTGTAATTACATGTTCTTCCACTTTCAAAAAACAATTTGAAAACAGCATTATCAGATTTCGTATTTACTCTCAATTTACAAGTTTTCATTCCCACAGCAACTACTACCAGGACTGGAAAAGCAAAGCCAACTTGATTTTTTTTTTTTTCCCTAGTGTATAAGGGTTCTGCAAAGTCCAGTCTGACTTGGATTCAGACATACAAAAGACAAGTGAAAATATTTTCACTATTTCAGTGTTCTACTTCAGCTGTTCTTAAATTACTGTTTGTCTCACAAAAGAAACTTGTAACACTTACTCTCCAAATCAGATATGATGAGATTGTCATGAAGCTTCACAGCACGATGCTGCTCTACTTCATCCTCCAACTCAAAGATAGTTTCTTTCATGTCACTTCTCTCAGTCTCTTTTTCATCTAGTTCTGTCCGAAGTTTTTCTAGAGTCACATTGAGATCCTCAATTTGTTTCTTGGCTTCTTCTTGGAACACTCTATATTCATCTTCAACCTGAAAAAGAATATATCTTATCATAAGTAAATTGGTTGCATTTTAAAACACTTTTAGTTTCATAACTACTATACTTAAAATATATTTCTGCAACCATAAAAAAGTATGGGACAAGAAGTTAAATGTAAGCCTTTAAAAATGTATTGTTTCCTGAGCCAGAGTTAAACTCTTATTCCCAAGCTGAATATATGAGCATTTCCCAGCTACTCTAACAGCAGTATCCTGTATTCAAGTGAAGTAACAGTACCATAGGATCAAGGCTGTGATTTCATGAGCACCTGATCCAATTTAACATCTAGCTGCCATGGAAAAGGGGGGAGGTAGTGGGGGGAAATGCTTTACCCTTCCTTTCTCTTCCCTAGAAAAAGCCTGCTCTCTTCTGTGCATCAATTTTAGTGCTTGCTGGACCTGTGAGATGATTCATTTCCTTAACCAAGCAGCAGGATTCACATTTGCGTGTGAGATGTGTTAGCGAGTTGAAGTAGTTCCCAGAGGAGTCTTACAAGCTATTCAACTGAATTAAAAAAAAACCCAAACAAACAGGGAAAGGAAGAGGTAGTAGATTTCTCCCTTTCAGGAGCAGCAAGGCTATTTTATCGTGCCTCATGAAACTGCAACATAAGTAACAAGCTGGGATCAGAAACACAGTTACATTAACCCAGCAGCAAAAATAGGTGTCAGAAAAACAAGGCTTAGAGTGGGTCAGTACAGTCAGGCACCAATTTTAATAGACAAAATGCCCTGCTTTAAGTCATCTGTGTCAATATTTTTTATTTTAATAGCACTATCCAACTCTAATATTTTTTTTTCCTCTCCCAAATTAAGGTTGATTCTAACTGGCTGGTGATCATGACTAACATGTTGATTTGCAACCAACACAGTTCAGACATTAAATTTGGTATAAATTTTCTCATCAAGAAAATATACCTTTAAATGCATACTTAAAATTACTAAATAAATTTTAGGATTCTTATTTTTTTATTAAATTATGGGAAACACTTCTACTAGACATATTTACTAAATAAATTAGTTACATATAAGTCAAAATAGCTGTTCTAGAATGAGGACTATACATTTTGATCCAAAACCCAGTCAACACACAAGCTGATCCTGGATGGATCATTAGTAAAAAACCTATGTGTATTTGGCATATTGAGTAATAATTGTTTAAAAGCTCAAAATATTTTTTTCATTTAAAACTAAAATTTTTATTCAGTAAATTAAGTTAAATTTGGCAAAATCTCTGTCTACCTCAAAAGGAGTAATTTCTTGGAGAAAGATGACACTTTTCTGCTTTCTTCATCATTAGTTTATTCTAAGGTAACTGAACCAACTTGAATAAGCTGAAACTTGAAAATATTCTCTGAACACCTGTGAAAGGTCCTACAAGTCATCAACAGCTGGGTTATCACTTCAAACTTTAACTCCCAGTACTTTCTCAGTGACATCCTTCTTCCACCAGTCTGGCACTAACTCCTTGAAACGCTTGCAGAAGGCGTGCAATTTAAGCACAAAATTCCTACACTATACTGTTTAAATTTGGCCCTTGAAATAAGTTGTGGAGTTTACCAGTATTTTTGACAAGTAACATGACAGTTATCCTGTGCCTGAGTGTATCCATATGATTTTTTAAAAGACCTCCATCATTTTCATAACAAAGGTTAAGAGGAAGTAATCAATTGCAACACTACTGCAACCTGATTAATCTCATGGTTAATCCTTTACTTCTAAAATTACTACAGTGACCAACAGTAAGTCATGGTGTATATGGAATGTTAAAATACAACAGTTTGTTTTAAATACTACCTTAGCAATGGCATCTTGCAATCGATTGGCATCATTGCGAGTGTGTGCCAGCTCTTCTTGCAGACTACTGGCCAAGGTCTCTGCTTTTTCTTTATCCAGCCTGACACTCTCCAGCAAATCTTGTATATCTGATTTATCTCCAGAGTTGTGTATAGAATACAACTCAGCCACTTTCTGCTTTTCGTGCTCTAACTGAGCTTTCAGCCTGTTCATCTCAATCTGGTCACTGGCTACTGTGGCTTTGTACTCCTCTAAGGTAGATGCTATCGCTGTTTTGCTTTTCTGCTCTGACTCAATAATCCGTTCCATGTGGTGATTTCGTTCTTTTAATGCCCCTATCATTTCTTGGGCCTCCTTGTTGTCTTGCTCTGCCATCTTTAAAGTGTTGCTCAAGTGCTGCTGAACACCTAGCAGCTGCTCTCGCTCAAATCGAGCATTCTCTGCAAGGTCCATATAACGTTGCTCTAATTCCATGTAGCGACCACTTTTCATATCTTCATCAATTACATATGAAATATGATGTTCATCTAAAAGGGACCGAAAATACTCAATCTGACGGCTGAAGTGTTCCAATTTGTCACTTTGCTGGCACAAAGATTCCATGAGGATTACTTTTTCCTCTCCAAGTCTTTCATTCTCACTGTTTAGCTCTTGTGTTATTTGTTGTAAATCTGCAAGCTCTTGAAGTGTAGCTTGGAGTTCTTCAGCTGTACTATGTTGATTCTCTTCCATCTGATGTATCCGTTCTGTCAGACAAGCTACGGAGACTTCACTTGCATTGCCACTGCTTCCCTTCCTAGATCTCTCTATACTTGGTACTCCTTCAGACTCCGATGATGATGGAGCATCTAAGGCATCATCGCTTGATGTCAGTGGCTGATAAACTTCACTGCACTCACTGTCTAAATTATCCATGGAATTACTATGTTGGTTGTCCATCAAAGTATTTTCATCCTGACTCAACAAGTCTTCCATGGATCCAGGAGCAGAACCTTCCACTGAAGATGTCAGAGTACCACCACCATCACTGTGGTTGCCAGCTGTAATCTCTGGACTCAAAGACTGATAGCCAAAGAGTTTTTCAGAGTTGTCCAGCCTTTGTTCCAAAGAAAAGCCCAACGCATTTAGTCTGTCTTTTAACATTCGATTCTCATTCTTCAGCTGGTTGAGCTCTTCTCGGATGGCAGTGTTTTGTTCCTGTAACTGTAGCAACGTAGACTCTACATCAGTTGGCTGATGGACAACAATGGCCTCTTTTTCTTCAGATTTTTCATCACCTTCAAGTTGATCTTCGTTAAGCCCCAGCTGAGCACGCATATCCCTCAGTTCATTCCTCAGATGCAAGATTTCCACATCTTTAGTTTTTGCTAATGTCAAAAGATCATTCACCTTTGCTTCCAACGCAGCTTTGTCACTGATTTGATTGTCTGATTTGGACTTACTCATTCGAATATCCGATTCTGGATTGGTGCGACTTCGGGAACGTTTTGCCAGGACCGTATCATTGGTTCCCTGTCCAGTCAAAGGTAGCTTTTTGCTCTGGCTTAAACGAGAACGATCGCGTATTCTTTCTCTAGAAGAGCTTGACTCTTTATTTCCAGACGAAGTGCTGCGCTTAGTTGTGGAACTTGTACCTATATGTTTTTTGAAAGTTAGGAACATGAATTTAAAATACTGTATCTGTAATAGAAGACTGTGTATTTTGTATCAGCAATACAGTGCTTGATTTTCTGAATCACACTGGTAAATACATTTCATAAAATACATTTAGAGTAAACATTTATACAACCTTAACCACGAATCAGTGCAGTTACATTTTGATACATGCTTTACTAATTGCCATGCTTTACCAGTATTTTGAAAATGAGTTAGACCTTGAAGTTCAACATTTCCAAGTTTCTTTTTTTCTGTCTTTAACAGCTTCTGATAAATTGTACAAAGACTGCAGTAGTGCTATTCCTACAAGTTCAAATTTGTCTCTCTTTTCAGTAGATTTGAATGCAAGCTTTTAAGCAATGAATTTTGTATTATGATTCCCCAAAATGAGTTAAGGTTTTTTGTATTTTCATCTCATTCCATAAAGACGAGAATAGATATTACTAACTTATTTCCAGATGCTTCACAGCTTTGCAAGCATTACTGAATCCAAAACATAGCAATGGAAGACAAGACATATTTCCATCCATATTGATAACACACTAAATAATTTCACTTTTCTGAACAGTTTCTGATAGCCCTCTTTATTTCTAAAAAGCAATACAGAATGTCCAAAATGTTGACTGCAACAAGTAAGCACATCTTAAAGAGCTAGAGCTTGTGGCATGGATTTTTTTTTTAAATTAATAATTTAAGATTAAATAGTTTTAGACAAATCTATGTTTCCCCAGATTAATTGTATTATCTAGCTTTATGTAGTAGTTGCACAGTCAGTACTGAAAAAATTAAAAGGAACACCCTCCAAAAAGGCAACTACATTGTTAAAAACAGGAGAAGAGTACAGGAGTTGTTTGATTTGACCATGGTCTTACTGACCACCTCATTAGCCAGCCTGGATCCTCCATACATAAGAGGAAAATAAAAAGCCACCCAACTACTATCTTTAAGGATCAATATATCCATTTACCTGCAATAGTTTTGGGTTTATTTTCCAGACTGTTCATGGTCGTCCCTGAAGCTGAAGATGCTGTTGATACGCAAGTGCTCTTCTTTGCCTTGACACCATTGGTCATTGTCACTCCACCACCACCAGCCATCCCCGCTAAGAGGTCATCGTTACTCTTAGTCTGAAAGAAAGGGAAGCAGCAGCTTTAAGACAGCTGGCTGAGAAGTCTGTGTAGCCAACATTTCTTCTGTTAAAGATTCCATGAGTTTAAAAAGTACATATTTGACTAGTCATGTGTCTACGCAAGAATGTTGAAAAGCATAACTGCACTGCACTGTGCAGAGCTGGTAAGTTGAAACTGAACTTCAATTCCTTACCTATGATTGACCATAGAAACTGAGTCTTCTCTCTCCCAGAAAAAAATGATTAATGTTTGAAAACCAAGGAGAGAAAAAAAAAAAATTAAAAGCACAGTTACACAACAGTGTAACACACTTCAATTTGACTGAAAGTTCGCTTAAGCATAAAAATCAAGACAATTCCTAGATAGTTAAACCAGCAAATACTAGGAAGTTAGTATAACGTCCTTCAATAGAATATGATCAAGCGTTTTCTGGTGGGCAAGCTCACAATAGAAATATCAAACCAAACAACAATAAAAAAATCAAGCCAACATTAATGAAATACCCTTTCTAGCTCAAAATCCTAAGCCACAAATCACCAGAGACTAGGAGACTATTCAGAGGTGGGGAAAAAGCCACCCTCACCATATATCCTTGTCTTGTTTTCATGCTTTTTACTAAGCACTCTCAGAGACGGGATATTTGTTTGATGGACTTTCTGTCTGACCTTGTATGATCATTCCTGAAACTACTGTTAGCCACAAAAGCTGCCTGGAATGTGACAAGGCAGTAAGCAAGAACTGGATTCCCAAATAAAGAATACATCTTTCAGCAGAAAGCAAACTCTAGAAATACTAAGTTCTTATAGCATTAATTGGCAGACTTTACAACTCTTTAAAATGCAATTTTTCAAATGGAGAAACAACCCAAATATGCTAAACATTCTTCCCATTATAAGGGCAAAAAAAATTAAAAGTAAACAGCTGTGTTAGTGGCATTCTTTGAGTAACTGTTATTATTCAGCTGGATAACACATTTGAAATCTCAACCAGCACCCCAGCTAAAAGGTAGTGCTTAGGACTTAACCAGTTGCTTTACATCATGACTTTCAAATTCTGCAGGTTTATAACTAGCTCCCATACATGTTCATGTTAAAAACTATATGCCAGACATTACAATTCTATACATTAAGAGTGAAGGTACACTTGCTTAATGAAAAAGAAGTTGTATCTCACTCTATCCTATCTAGTTTCTTTTTGCAAGTTCAAACTTCAGAGCAGTTATGAACACTGATCAAGATACTGTAGAAAGGGCATGGATGGGATTTGTGCCATTTAGAAAGAAGAGCAGCTGCAAAACAAAGGAGAACTTGGGAAAAGGATACTTGTTCTGCATGCAGCTGTTAGAAATACAGATAATTTACAGAGAGAAACAGGTATTTGTAAGGGTAATATCCTCTAGGATATGAATGTTTTTATTAAATCATGTAGAAAATGGTATAGACTTCTAAAAAGGTTTATAAAAGGCTGGAAGAAAACACATTACTCTGAGGCTTTAGTTTGATGTGCATCTAAGCTGGCTTTTCTGCTATGAAAAAGCCACTGTTGTTCTGTTGTTCTAGCTGCTCTTCTCCATGCGCTTACACACTGTGCTGTGTAAACTGAAGCCCTTTCAAAGAGCTCCTTCTTCCCAGGAGCCAGATCAGTTCCTTGATCTGCTATGTCGCACAGCCGTGCAAAACAGCAGATGCAATGTAAGTAGCAACAAGAAAATAAAAGTGTTGGAAGGCTACAAAATTGTCAAAGCCCACACTGCTTGTGCAGGGGGATGAAGAGCTGAGCACATATTACTACTGTATGACAACCCTCTGTTAAGAAATCTGATTAGATTATAGGTTATCTAATCTAAACTAATTTTGTGGGCATGGGAGTAGAGGGGAAGGGAAACAACCTCATGATGCAACTATCACCTAAACCAAGGTATTACAAAAAGGCATAGAACAGTGAATTTCTATTTTGCTACTGAATCTGTCAATCAGTCGGCACACATGCTAGTTCAAATGGACTGTTAGCTGTCAGCATTTCTGCCCTGTTGAAAGAGTGGGGAAATTAGATTAAGCTTTTAGATACTTATAGTACAACTACATGTTATCAAGCCAAATAGGTCAAGTGTGACTCAGCTTGGGGAAAAAAAAAAAAAAAAAAAAAAAAGGCTAAATAAAATAACACACTTTCTGACATTAGTCATCTCCAGCCCTTGCTGAACAAAGGAATTTAACACAGCCATTCTTCTTCTGACTTACTCATAAACTATTTCTAGTCTAGGTTGGAAGGCACTGTCTCCTCTGCAGTCAATTAGTAAACAGTTTCTGAAAACTGTAACACTATACTCTTGGCAAAGAAAGCTATTTAGCAAAGCTTTGGAAAAATTACAAACCAGCAGCTCTCTTTTCTTAATGCTCCATAATAGCAACCATTCTTGACTTTAAAAATCAAAGTATTTTTATAGCATATATTTTTAATGGAAGCAAAAGAAATGTCATATATTTATTAAACAACTTTTTCCTGAAGGAAGAATAGCTTCTCCTATTTACTGAAAACAGTGGAATCACTCTTAGCATTAAACCCCCTACATTAAAATATGAAAAATTAGAAAATACCATAGTTAGAAATGCTCATCCAGACCTATTTTGATTTTCTATATAAAAAACCACTTTATAATTAATTCTACAATTCATATTCCATTTCCCCCCCATGTTTCTTTCAGTACAATGAAACTTGAATGATCACCTCTACAATTCATTTCATCTTAGTTTCTCAACATGTATATCCTATTTACTGTACCTCATTCAAATGCATTTTTATATATATCTAATTATTCCTACCTGGGATTTTCTTTGATGCTTGTTGCTGCATTTGAGTGCTCAAAACATCAAACTTCACAACAATCTGTAATTAAGTTACTGTATTTCGCAAACAGAATACCAAAGCCTAAACACATGAATACTGAAAACAGATTCTAATTTTTCATATTCAAATGTTGGTGTCCAAGTCCTGGCTTTTCAGGGACACTGGATTTTGCAATTCATTTGTATGAAGTACAGCTGCCATCTAATTACAGTTGTGTTAGCATGATCACAAGCTCTTTAGCTGAAGAAGTTAAAAAAAAAAAAAATTAAAAATAAGAAGACACTGTTATTTGCAGAGTATTTTTTGACAGATTAAAAAATAGAAGTGGCTGGCAGTTGACCTTCTGCTGTAATAACATGTGTGGTGTGGTGGGGGTTGCTGAACATTATGAATGTCCTGAGCAAAGTGGGAGCCAAAAACCTAGGAAAAAGTAACCTACCAAAAGGCATTCTGAAGCGAACAGACCGACAGACCTCTGGAAGTGTTCAGCTGTACAGAAGGGTGGGTCTCACAGTTTCTTCCTGTGCTTATTGTCCACACACTTTGAAAACTCAACAAGAAAGGACAAATCTATGAAACAACGCGTAGTGAAAGAACCCCACTCAAAGCTGAACACGAGCCTATGGCTTTATCATAAGGGGATAAGAAAAAAAAAAAAAAAACCAACCATACAATAATTAAAAAGTAATTTTCAATTTCTCAGCATTATTACTGACTGAATTAAGATTGGTATAGTACTGAAACTGTGTATTTCTAGTCCTTAATAGTGGCTTTTCATTCAATATCCCACCCAAAGTTTTCTGTATCTACATGCACACTTATTTTGAGGACTAAATAAATTAGTAAGCTGTTGCAATTAAAGTTATTTAATGCTAGCTATGGTTGGGGTCTTTTTGTCAAGGAATATTAAATTAAATCTGTAATACACACACCAATTCATCAAGCCTAAGGGAAGATCCTACAACCACTGTGAGGAAAACTATGTATCAAATGCTTCATCAATAAGATCAAATCAAACAAGATCAACAATAAAAAAAATTATTTTAAAAATAATACAATTTGTTATTGACACTTCTTCCAAGCCAGTAATTATAAATGTGGTGTGCCAGTATCTCTAAGTCAAAAAAAATACAAACAACTAAATTTGGTGCATAAGTATCAAACAATCAATAAGATAAGAGTCATCATTATTATTAAGCCACACAGTTGGCAAAACAGCAACTTAACAAGTAAAAGACATCCAACTGTATGAGTAAGCCTAGCTGTAACATAAAGCTGAGATAAGTCTTAGTAACTTTCATTGTGCCTCAAACATACAATTGTCATAAATTCTAATCCTACACCCAAACATAGCCAGAAGAGTTACCAATATAAGTAAAATTGTGAAAGCATACTGGGTCAAATTTCTTTAGTGTTAGATGATCCTCCTCCTTTATCTCACTGAGGGGTATAACATAAAAAAAACTCGATAAGCAAACTACAAAGGACTTTTATTTCCATATTCCTTGAGAGGTTTCTAGAAATACAAAATAGGTAGTGTCAACAAGCATCAAAAGATCAAAGTTAAAAAAACTGTAAGATACATTGTGTGGCAGAGGAAAGCGAGAGTATCAGGAGAAAATCTAGCTGAAACCTGGCTCACCAGTTCATCAGCAAAAGTATTAACTATTCTTCCATAAAAGAAAAGCAAGAAGAGAGAAAGGGAACACATCTTTTGACTTCAGTAATTCTGCATAACTACTACAGAGAGACCTCAACCCTTGCCACTTCTTTTATTTTAGGTCTTTATTTGCCAGTTATTTAAATGGCCTGTCTGGCTTCCTGTAGGTGACAGTGTTGCAGGTCCCAGTTGCAGACACCAGCCCTTTTCCTTGTTCTGTTCACTTGCTCCAGGCAGCAGCAGCAGTGCAGCAGCTCTGCATACTGTGCTGCAGAAAGACAAAAGGTGGTGGGTCGAGCCATGCTTCCATGCCAGGAGAGGGAGGCAGACCAGGCAGGCTCATACCATCCATTCAACCCAGATGTGTTTTGCTCCCAGGTGAAAACTCCACACCAGTACGCCTCAGTATGTCTTATTTTTCCTGGTTGTTGAAAACCATACGCTCCTAAATCTACTGCCCTGTTTTGCTAATATAAGAGAAAACCTCTACCTTTGAACTTGTTGTAGGAGCAAGAATCAACTTGTGAAAACTCAGCTCAAGCAATACTTCACACAAACCAAAGGCCAAAACAGCTAGAAGAATGCAGCTGCGCTGACCTGACGGAGATTACTGATATCAAAAAGCTTCTCATGTTAGATACCTCATTAGTTCTTTTTTCAGAAGTCGCAAATAACACTAAATCAAATCCCATTAGTCACTGACACACCATTCAAGCATAACATGACACTAATAACATTCATCAGAATGCAACTTCCACTCTGCTCCTTTTGCAGAATAGCCAAATTCTGCAAAGTACATTGCTTTCTATCACATCACACACTGTAATATGAAAAACACAGCATGAATGCCACTCAAGGTCCTATTACTCTGGCCAACACTGTGCAACTACCCAAATTCCCTTCAGTTACCTATACGACAAACCACTAGTCTAAACTGCATTAAAGACATGCCTTAAAATTCTACTCTTTTTAAAGCTTTATTGTAAAAAATATAAATAATCAGAATGTTCTATTTGTTATTACCTTCAAAAGAGATGCTGATGTCCCAGTTTTGGGGAGTTTTGTTACTGCAGACACTGAGGAGCCGTTTTCTGGTTTGGGTTTTTCAGTTGTTTGAGTTTTATTTACTCCAGGCACTTTGGGCACTGAGCCAACACTCCTGCTTGCTTTCTTCATTCTGGGCTGTCTGTTTATGATGCATTTACAAACAAATCTACAAGCAGAAAGAAAGAGATATTTTAAACATAAAATAAAGATGAAAAGCAATGTTGTTTTTTTTTTTTTTTTACAATACTTTATTTAAGACCAGAAGTCCAGGATAGTTGTAAGACCACAAATTAGAGCCAAAAAGAATGCATGTGACTGACCGATGGTTTTTGTTTCTTTTAAAAAGGAATTTTTACCAAGAACTAAGCACTTCCTACAGCTCCACTCCAAATTATTTTTTTCCAGTTCTCTTTCCACAAATGGTACTGAACTGAGGATATTTTATAAGTGACCCATGTTGCCGAGTTCATTTGTTAGCTAGCAAAAGAAAGGCTTATTAGGGCAGCAATGTTCTGTATTTCTGACTGTGGGAAGGAAAATACCGTGGGAGTATTCAGGCAACAGCATGACTACCAACAACAGTGGATCTGAGAAAAGATTACCACTAGCCTGGTAACTAAAGTACTGAGAGTGGAATGGCAGTTGCAGAGAAAAAAGTATTTTATAAAAATTCAAAAAGTTGAAAAATTCAGGTTCTCTGAAACCATTTATTATTAAAAATGTTAATAAACACATAGGATTTTACAAAATTTAATACTAGTCATACGAATATGAGGATTATCTCCGAGAAGAAACCAGAAGTAGCGCACCGCGTTCCACGGTCCACAGTCAGGACACTTCAGCATCTTTACCTTGCCTTCAAGTTTTCTCAAAAACAGCAGGCAACTGTCAATACTGTCATTCCAACCATGAGCAAATAAACAAAACCCCAGAAAACAAAGCTCATTTTAGTCAAATCAGGAGCAGCTGCAGGAGTCCCAAATGCTGCAGTTACCACAAGAACTGCTAATTCTGGAAGACAACCTAAGAGAGGGCAGACTGGCCAACTGCCGTAACTTGAAGCATGGACTACCAGATGGACTACCCGGATTGGGACCTTCTTCCCTTTTGAAAGAGTAGAATAGTTGGCAGCTGTTTTCTTCCTCTCCCCTGAGTCAGAAGACATAGGATGGAAGATTAAGAGGAGGAAATTTCCACTCTCCTTTCAGTCTTACAGATTCTCAGTGGAAGTGAGTGATCAGGTTTATCTGGGCCCAATATCCTGTGGCTGATTAGAAACATGAAACACATCCAGCTTTTCCATCTCTTAAAAAGTGAAGCCCTTCAAAGGCACAAAAAGCAGCCTGATGATTGAGTGCATGAGATGTGCTACACAAAAGCAGTGATCAGGAGTACTAATTTATTTCAGGTAACGAAATCAACACTGTACACGAACACACACTCCTTCCTCCCCATCAGCACCTCAGCTGTATGCAAGTGTATTTCAAGTCTTTGATAAAAGTCAGTAAAACCCCAGTAGTTTTGCATCCTCAGACCCCTAAGCGCTGTTAACAGAAGCAATAGGAAGTTTCATTTTAAGACACTGAAAATACTTGTTTATAGCTTCCAGATTCCCTTTAGCTCTGAAAGCTGGCGTGAACAGACACAGACAACTTTCTTTGCTGTTGCAGTTTCATCATCAGAATGTCAAAAATGCACCGGTCTTGCCATACGGCTACTAGTAATCAGAACGCCCTCACAGAAGATTAAATAACTGAGAGAGGATTTGAAATAAGACACTCCTAAGAAAACCAAAACCCAAACCAGAAAAGCCCCATGAAGGTAACATATTTGCTACACACACATTATTTTAAGTGGCACAACTGCCTACTAGATTCCAGAGCAGATGCTAATATTTACAGGGAGGACCAAGTTGCCACACTTATGTTTTCTTGCCTTTTTCATGTTTATGAGTTGAATGCTTACTTGTGCTTTTGATCTTACTCAACTGAAAACCAAAACTGAGAAGACCAAAGAGGACATTACTGTTGAATGATATTTTGATGTTCTACAGACTACATAAAAATGTTCCCCATAGCATGCCTGAGAAATAATCAAAACAATTTTTCAGTGCACATCTTGTGGTGAAGCTGACTGCATTTAAAAAGTTACCTCAAAAAAACCTATACTTTTGCAAGAAATCCAGTAAATTAGAACCATAGCTTTTTGACAGCTCACAGAGCTAGAAAACCAGTGCTATAATGAAGGTTAGGGTACTGGCAACTATATGACTATCATACATTTGGGCAGAGCCTGACAACCTTGTCTGGCAATCTAGATAAAGCAGTAGCTCCAGCTGGCCTGCAGACATCCAGCAACAGCCATTTGCATACACATTTATCCAGTCTACAGAACACATTCATCAAGTCTGACACATCTTACAACATGCCAGATACATATTGCACACATGATCTTTGCATGTATGGGATCTGCTTATTATAGCAAGTAATATAGTAACATACCTCACTGGATGTATAACCTCAAAAAGAACTACTGGCTAACATTAGCTTTTACAGTACAAACCATTTATACTCTTGCGAATACATCACAGAGGTCATCAGTGACAGAAGACTGTGTGAAGTCAAGTGTTTCTCATCCATAAGGGATTTTTTAAAAGGATGCATATTTTAGAAGTGTTCCTGAAAATATGCAACAGTATTTGCTTCAAGAACAGCAACTGCATAGCAAACTGATGTAAATAAGTGAAACTCTAAACAGAGTAACCAAGTATAATCCTCATGTTTCATCACAGCATTACTTTAAAATGTCCACAAATTCAGCATTGAAAAACACTATTTGTGATTTACTGAAACTCAAAGGTAGAAACTTCAAAGACCCTTAGAGGACAGGGAGGGTTAGGTATTGGTGTTCCTGATTTTCTTGTGGAGAAACTAAGCTCTAGTAGTTACTTTCTTACTGAAACACTGTGTAATTATAGTTTAAAAACTGAGAAAAAGATACAAATGAATCCAACAACTTAAAATAAGGACAAGACATTAATTAGCACAAAAGTTCTAAAAGCAGCTGCTTGCTCAGGCTCCTAAAGTGAATTTATGACCTCTTGGTGCCAATTTCTCCCCTCCTGCCTTCTCCGGGAAAGAAAAAGAAGATGGAGTTTCAACGCTGAAAACAGAAGACATCAATATTGCTGAACTGTAAGTGGAAAAAGCCCTACTTCACCCAGTTTCTCAAAAGGCAGATATCATGGATAAAGATACCTTTAGGCTTCTAAAGAACACTACATTCCTTAGGAAGACACAGTATTAGGACCCAACAATACATTTGTCTCTGCCCAATGCTAAATTTTAAAATAAGAAATAAAATGCTCACTAGCCAAATGCAGCTTTCTGAAGATTAACACACAACAGTAATAAATCAAATGAGAGCTAAAATATTATTTCACTATTGTTTTAAAAAGCAAACACTGCATATAAAACTGTCATTTAGATTTTGCCCTAGGGAGAAAGTAGGAATTACTGGATACTTCCTTTCCCTTTATACACAATTCCTCCCACCTCAAAAAAAAGAAGAAAAAAAAAAAAGAGTGAAGCAGTGGAATTACGAGTTGTAACTCCATGAGACAATCAGGAGAAACCTTTGGAGGTCCCTTATACCATACTACTAAACAAATACTCATCTATCAACAGACACAAGAGGTTAATGGAAAATAATGCTAGCACTACAGTATCAATTTTAAAATAATCAGGATGGAAAAAAGCCAAAACAAGCCCAAAATATCAGATAGAAAGACTGCATTCCTAAACTCAAATGTAACTATTCGCTCTAACCTGTATCCTTTCCCAGACAACTCTCTTTCCACAGCACACATAGTACAGGAAACAAAAGGGAATCTTGTTCAGGAGCGTGCTCTCCTTGCTCTGGCGGAGGCATGTGAAACCAGTCCTGCATTTTATACCAACTGCAATACAACTCCATAAATAATAATTTAAAAGTGTTTTGCCCAATAGCATGGCTCTGCTCTATACTGTAAACCGATATGATACATCTACCCAGCCAACATGAAATGCTTTCAGGGTTACTCTTACGTACTCTTTAGAAACCTGAAAACTGAAAGGGAGGTGTATGATTTCTCACTGTGATTATTTAAATCTCATTCATTATTTAATATGTTTAATTATGCCGATACTGCTGTCACAAAATTAAGGCTCAATTATAAGAGTACAAAAAACAGTTTCCTGTGCCTGTAAGTTGAGAGAGGGTTAAGCAGCAAAGTAGGCCTTTTGCCTTTGGTTGAAAATACAAAGTATCAACAGGTATTAAGCAGTTTTAGCTATTAAAAAATAGTGGATTATTAAGAAAATGATAAATAATCTTAGAATTATCTTTTAAGAGTTCCAGAAAAATAGAAACAACTGATCCCTCCAATTTGAGGATACTAAGCATTTTTGAAACATCGAATACCCCAAATCAGAGGAAAATAGAAATACTGACATCTAAGAGCAATGGAGTCAGTACACTTTCACTCTCTATTTGTACAAGCTCTTTGGTTTTGATATATTTAGGCTGACAACTTTTGCCCAAATAATCAGGGAATGACATTTTTAGGTCACTTACACAGTCCCAAAAGGCAGAACTGTGAAGAAAAGATTATGAAATACAGCCTCTTCAACCCCCTGTAAAACACAGATTCAGAACCTCCCCAAGTCTCTGCAGGCAAGACAGCATAGTCACCAACAGCTTAACGTCTGGGACGTGAAATAAGCTACAAACTATGAGGCAGTTCTCTACAGCTGTAATGCCCACAGCTCAAACTTTCAGCCTGCAAGCTGCACAAGCACTCTGAAACGATGTCTCTTGCTCAATAATTGCAAAAGTATAATCCATTAACCACTGGATTCCAGAAGCCCAGAGCAAGCAGCACATTTGTTTTACTGCTTAAGATGAAGACATCAGGTTTAGTGACTTGAAAATTTCCTGATGCTAGAGGGTTATTTAAGATACCAAGGGCAACAGGAAACTGTGGGGAATCACAGAAGACCCTTATGAGACTAACCAGACAATAAAAACAGCAAATAAAATTAAATGTAGGCAAACACAAAGCAGTATAACTCTTGGGGAAAAGAAACCTCAGCTTCATGTATAAATGTGCTCTCAATTCATCAATATTCAGCAAGACTTCAGTGTTTTGATTCACAGCTTCATTAAACTATCAGTACAGTGTTTGGGATAAGGCAAAAAAAGCAAAGCAATTCCAGAATTATTAAAGAAAGGAATAGAAAACAAACCATAAAACACAAATATTGCACTCAACAAATCAATTTTTTGCCCATCTACCCACACTTAATTGGTATGTGCAGTTCTGGTCTCTCAACCTCAGAAAAAAGGACTTCTTACAGACCTGAAAAAGGTTCCAAGGGGCAAAAATAAGATCAAAGGTATATAATAGCTCCCATGAGACATTTCACAGGGAATATGACAAAAGCCTATCAAATCTTGAACGGGGAATTGGGAAGGCAGACTGTGACTGGCTGTTAATCATCTTTTTCTGTACTAAAACTAAAGACCAACAAATTAAGTTAGAGCCAGGTTCAAAATAAGAAAAATGAGCTGTATTTTTAATGCAGATTGAAAGAATGTTGTGGCTGCATGAAGCGCAAGTGGAAGGAGAGACTGGACATGCACAAGGTAGAGAAACTCCCTAATGGATGCTAAATAGCTGAGCACAAAGGGCTCAGAAACCCCTCTGAGCTAAAAATAATTGCAGGATGGGAACGTAGTCAGGGCAGGAGGGAAGAGTTTGGTTTTGTTTTGTTTTTCCTGAGGCATCTGCTCACAGCAGCGGGACCCAAAGCACCAGGTGGGACGGATCCCTGCTCCAGTCAGGGCAGTGTCTGCTACGTTCTTATGCCGTGAGGAAAATACACAGATGCCAATGATTTATGGGTGCTGCAATTTTGGAACCACTGCTGCAGGTAGTTATTTAGAAAAGAAAGACTTTCCTATTACTTTCTATCTTAAAAATTCAAAAGGGCCTTTACAGTTTTCCATTACAAGTTGTGGAATTACAAAAATAGGAATTCTACCTTTATCCATCCACTGTTTTCAAGCCACATTTGCTACTGCTACTTCACTTTTAAACAGAAGGGATGAAAGAGCAGAGCTTTGGGCAAGAATTGGCTCTTATAAACTGAAATTTCTCTACTCCTTCTTTGGAGAAAACTTCAGAGCTGTAACTGTTGTGAGCAATGTGTAACCGTTGCAATACTTAACATTCCAGACAAGTGACAGGAACATTTACAGAAGAACTCCTAAACTTAAAAACTGTGCTCCAAAAGCCTTTTCCTAACAAAATTAAATAATGTAGTTTTGTTTTCAAGCTCCTACTTTAAACAACTGCTATTTCAAACCAGTGCCGAGGAAAGAAAAAACAACCGTTTATCAACTAAATCCAACTGATTCTTCCTAGCGTGGGGAATACGTTTCACAAGGAAGGGGAGCACTGTCCATAACCTGGTCTCAGCACTAACTTCTACATTGACTGCACCTTCAGAAGCTTTTATTTTTGAATTACAGTTTTGGAAACCAGAACAAAAGAGCAGGTAATTCTATACCTTATTGATATCCATCCTAGAGCTGATTAAAAAATATTCTAAGTGGGCTAAGTACCCTGTAGCACCTCCATTAACTAGGGCTGCTCACGCTATAGATGAGAACACCATCCATATTACTATCATACAGGTTTTGTTTCACTGGTGTTGATAATACACATAATGAAAACATCCTTATATCTGAAGGCAGCCTGTATGTCCCTTAAAGTGCAAGCTGAGATAAACCTCAACCAGCCGAACATGGTAAAGGAAACAGAAGAGGGAATATAATATGTAGAATATTAGTACGATTCACATGGAGGGACACTAAAACCTCGGTTTGGCTACCTTGTCATTTTTCACTCCTTTTGGTAAATTTCACAGTTGCATCCAAATTTTAAGCTGTGCACTAACAGATGATGTAATATATACCTATTTCCCGGATAGTAATTACACCTCTATGTCAGATTTTAAAGGCCTAAACAAACTTAGCACAAATCTAACTCTTCTAACCTTCTCTGTAAACCCCTCAGGTTAATATTCCAATAAAACAGAATCAACTCTCAACTTGGTTTTGTGGGCAAAAAAAAAATTTAAACCAATAAATCTCCTAAAGGACTGGCCAGCTTTAACTATAAAAGCAGCTAGCCTAAAAAGTGATACTTGGTCAGTTAACCACATTAATTAAAAGCATTCTTATCTATCATTATTCCAAGCATGCTCTAAAGTGTTATTACAAAAATCAATAACCCTCCAGTTACAAAAGTGTATTTAGTGTCATAAAACCTTAAATATATACTGTATTCCTTAACCAACAGTCAGATTCTCCTGCACACATGGAATTCTTCCTTGGACTGCCAGGTAAGTGCTTTCAAAACCAGCAACATACAATTTTAAGACCAGGGAATTTGGCAGAATAGCACAACAAAAGGTGCACAACTAACACAACAACTTCCTTTTGTTTCAAACTGACTAGCTCAGTAGATTGACATGTAGCTCATTTCATTGACATGTACTCTGTCTCTAGCACATCTGTTCCCAAAAGTTCTGGCTAGAGTAGGTGACCAGTGGCGACCTTTTCCCTTTTGTCCATTCAAAACATTGTCAGCTGAACTCTTCTATCAACAACTGCAGCAAAGGCTTCTGCAGCATGAAGTTCACAAGGGAGAAGAAAGGCAGTCAGTAGCCTAGCTTCCACCAGAAAAAGGGGGACAGAGAAAGGAAGTGCAACATGCTATTTCAGGAGCTAGACCAGCAGCTCCCAGCACACGTATGTTACAGGTAAAACATGTGAGATAAGTGAGTAACTTCAACCAGGTCCCACGTTCATCCAAAACACTCCATCAGATCTTCAGTTCATGCAAAACCCAAAAACCTTATGAAGTTCAACAAGGGCAAGTGTCGAGTGCTGCACCTGGGTAGGTTGAACCCCATGCACCAGTACAGGCTGGGGGCTGACCTGCTGGAAAGCAGCTCTGCTGAGAGGGACCTGGGAGTCCTGGTGGATGACAAGCTGACCATGAGCCAGCAGGGTGCCCTTGTTGCCAAGAAGGCCAATGGTATCCTTGGGTGCATTAAGAGGAGTGTGGCCAGCAGGTCAAGGGAGGTTCTCCTCCCCCCCTACTCTGCCCTGGTGAGACCCCACCTGGAGTACTGTGTCCAGTTCTGGGCTCCCCTGTTCAAGAAAGATGAGGAACTCCTAGAAAGAGTTCAGAGGAGAGCAACAAGGATGATAAAGGGACTGGAGCGTCTCCCCTATGAGGAAAGGCTGAGAGAGTTGGGCTTGTTCATCCTGAAGAAGAGAAGGCTAAGGGGACCTCATCAACACATACAAATATCTTAAGGGTGGATGTCACGAGGACGGAGCCAGACTCTTCACAGCAGTGCCCAGTGACAGGACAAGGGGCAATGGGTACAAACTGAAACATAAGAGGTTTCAGTTGAATATGAGGAAAAACTTCTTTACTTTGAGGGTGACATAGCACTGCAACAGGCTGCCCAGCAGGGTTGTGGAGTCTCCTTCTCTGGAGATATTCAAAGCCCACCTGTACGATGCCCTGTGCAACCTGCTCTAGGAGATCCTGCTTTAGCAGGAAGGTTGGACTAGATGATCTCCCAAAGTCCCTTCCAACCCTTACCATTCTGTGATTCTGTGTGATTCTGTAACCCCAAATCCTGTTTCCAGCATGGTTATGATGACAGATCTGTTCTTACCAGCTGTTGACTAATGTATTCTTAACTTGAGGACTTCTTATTGCCTGGATTTCTGGAACTGAGTGATGATTGGGTTCTCACTATGTCCACTTCACCACCGATCTGGTCTGGCAACATTCCTGAAGTCATTGCACCAAAAAAAAAAAAAAAAAAGAATAGAGATCAGGAGAAACATATAGAGAGATACATCACCCCTGAGGACCTTCCCAGCCCCCAGGTGCTTACGGCTCTGGGATTCTCAGCCCCAGGACCATCCTGGTCTCAGCTGGACAAAGGGAATGGCCCATCCAGAAGCCAGCCTTGCTAACGCTGGGGGAGGGAAGTGCCTGCTGGGGATTTCTTAACCTAGTCATGAAAGTAATTTAATTGTACCCTGTCACCAAAAGAGGCAGTCCCACCCCTTCCTCGATCCTCTCCTTTCTTTCAATTCTAGAGATCATAGCTCGTTTTGTGATGAATTGGTCTTTCAGTCAGATCAGGGCTGATCTGACTCATAATGGCTAGATACTACGCAAAGGAAGCAGCGGGACTGTGAACTGGGAACAAGGAGGAAGGCTCACCCTTTCAGAGACAGTATAGCCCCAAATTTGTTTTAATTCGGTCTCAGCCTACTGGACATTCAGCAACAGCCCTGATTTAAATCAGTCTCTTATTGCTGCCCAACCACCACCACTTTCCAAGCCACAATATTTTGTGGAGCCATGTGGTAAGATGAGGAAACAGATGAACTGTACTATTTTTAAGCAATCAACATAAGAAAAAACAGAGCAATCAGACCACCGTAGAGGGTCTGAAGACTGCCTATCTATTGGTTTGAATTCTGTGCTCTGACCCACCTCTTCCTTCAGCTCCAAGACCTGTTAGCAGCACACTCATTACTTCATTTAAAATCCTTCAGGCTTGGCAGACAGAGAAAAGACAGAACTGCATGCAAATCTTTCCTGAATACCCTGGTATCACTAGGGGTGGAACATTTACCTACCCCAGTGTGGAAGCCCAAGGATATACGTTTGAGTCATATAGGAGAAAAGTCTTTGGGACAGGGTGAAGAGGCTCCCATCTGCAGCCACTAATTTTTTTTTCTCCCCCAGGAAAAAGGATAAGATATTGTTTCTCTTCCACATTTTTATTCCAAGCCTTCTGGAAAAGGGTGAATCACGCACCAGTTTATGGAGTCCCTGTTCCCTTGGACCTGGGGATGGAGCCTGGGAAAGCACTAAAAGCCCAGGACCAGTATGGCATCCCTACCAGATGTGACTGCTGATATGCCGATATCACTGTGGCATGCCAAGTGCCTAACACTTTAGCACTTTCCATTGTGAAACACCTTTAAAGTATTTCTTTGAGAAGGTCCTATCCCTCCAGGTTTCATGGTGAGCCTTTGATGTTTGGCTGAAGGCCTCAGAATAGTTTTCCCATCCCCTCCAGAAAAATGTAGTCATTCTGCTAAAAAAGGCTGTATTGAAGTCTTTATAGTTATTTTTTTCGTCCAAGTATCCTTTACTTCCAGCGTTAACATCCATAAGTTATAGACTTAATGGAATTTTCTTCTGTAGGTAGAAACTATTTTTTAGAGGTACATACCAAACATTTTCAGAAAACTTCCAAGAAGTTCTTATAATGCATATTTGGACAATTTTACATTTTTAAAATAGCAAATTTTCTTCTGAACTTGAAATGCAAGTAGACAGAAATCTCGCGTGCATACTTGGAACTATATCATTTAAAATGTTATTAATATTTTTCCTGAGTGAGCTTTCATAAACAAAATTTATACATCTGCCCATTTTCCTCTATGGCTTCGAGACAACCACCTCCTTGTGCGTGAGCTTGGTGGTAAATCACAGTAATCTCTAGCATAGCGAACTATCAAAACCTTTGCAGAATGGCACATCACCACCCTTAAACTTTGTTTCAAAGTCATAGGGATAGCCATACTTACAGGTTGAGGAAACCCTCTCCTGTAGTTTTGTATAAGGCTAGAAAGAAGAATAGCAACAGTTGGGGGGGACATTATATCAAAAAGGTTTTTTTAACATCTTAATTCTTGATGGAAAGTTCTCAGTTACAGTCAAACCCAGTGATAGTGCTGCATTCAAGGATGTATCCCACTTTACAAATCTTAAGTCAAGAGTAATTTTGTGACACCTTCCAGCAACTGTATCTATTTAAGAAATTAATCATTTCCAGAAGAGACATGTAATTGTCCATTTGATATAAAGGAGTGCAGATAAAAAGTAGCCTTGCATGATTCTGTCATTGCAAGGAAAGAAAGATCCTTTTTTTGTCACAGAAAAAAATTAAAGGAAAGCTAGAACTTTAAGTGAAAAGAGTTACTCAGTCAGATTTGTGGCAGGAATCATGTCTATAAAGATCAGTTTTAATTCTTTTTTCTTTTCCTCCAGAAAAGACCTTCAGGGACTCAAAGGAAATATTTGCCATCAACTACTTACAATGCCCGTTACTTCTTAAGGAAAAGCAAACTGAAACAGAGAAGACCGTTTTTTGCGAAGAAATTTTTAACTGCACAACAGATGCTACTTTAAATACATACCCGTTACCAAATCTCAGTGTCATTTAGCTCGCTAAATAAAAGAAACTTGAAGCTCTCTACAACTTGGCAACTCAGTAAAAAAAAAAAAAAAAAATCAATCCTATGGCTAACCAGAGAAAGTCAAGCCTTAATAGATCATTTTTATATACTTGTCCATGTCAGTTAAGGTTTGTCAATATGAAGACTGCCAACATCTTAGCAATGAACAGTGAAATATGTTGAAGGAGCCTCCCCAGCACCAACCCTCACAGAACAATGAAATTTTGGAGCCGAAGTTTCAAGAAGGCTCCATCTGCCAAAACCACTGTGTGATTTTAATTAAGAACATATATAGAAATGTACTAAGAAGAGCATGAAGTTTCAAGGAGTGTTAAGGATGCCAGCCCCTTGGTCAAGCTTTCCACCCACTCCCCCAAATGTGTATCTCATAGGAAATCATTATTCACTGCATGTGCCTGTGCAGAACACACGTCCTACACTGGCTAAATGACCAAAGTCAAGGAAATGTCCTTAGCATCAGAAAAATTCCAATACCTTCAGGCTGATGTCATTAAATACATCACTTGAGTATTGCAATACTACCTTTATTCTATTTTTAATGCTTTTAAAATACTAGATGTTAGATGCTCAGTTTATTTTCCTGTAGAAAACTGCATATATACTAGTTAGTTGCAGGCAATCAATAGCTTGGCTTCATTCTGGCAAATAGTCCTGGAAAATAAAATTAACTGAGGATCGTGAAAGTCTTATCTTTCATAAATGTCAAACCAACTCTTGAAGTAAAAATGAATTATTTTCTGTCTTGAAATTTTGCTTAAGTGGTTTGATATAGCCCTTTAAGTACGTAACAAACGGCTAGATCTAAATTATGATATTTTTTTTTTTAGTACTGAAACCTTGCAGATTGATCCCCTTTAAAAAGTCTCCTTTTACCTAACCACAATTTATTCTTGTATTAATCTCGGGAAGCTACTAGTTCTGCCACTTATTTGCAACAGTGTCAGTTCTTTGCAAAATTAAGGTATCCCGAGACATTTACTTACAAAGATGAAGATCAAAAGTTGCAGTGCCTTTACAGTAAAGTCCTCTTTCCCAAAGAAAATCATGCATGTGTGTGAAAACTCTAATGATGAATTATTTATATGTTAAAAGATAGTATTCTATGACTACTTGCAGGCTGCATTAAACTGTTAAGTGCTCCAAATGGTGGCTTCTCTGATTATTTCGGTTGGAATAAGCTCAAAAGAACAACTAATATGTTCCCTGTGACTAGTCACTTAAGGCTATGGTTAAGTATGCAACTCAGCTTCTAACACCCATTTTTTTCTCCATTTTTCTGTATAAAGACTAAAAATAAGATCAAATGAGGTGATTTTTGAAGTCAGGAAGTACAAGCATAACATACCTTACGCCGTTTTTCCTTTGGAGCAATAGTGATTCAGTCACATTAACAGCATTATACACTTCTAGAACTGGATCCTAGTTGGCAAGACAGGGTCCAGCGTTGCAAGATCAAGGCAGGAAAAAAAGAACTTTGGAAGTATGCAAGTCAAAGATCTCTTAAGGAGTTTCCATCGCATGCCTCCACCTTCTGAGAACATATTTTCTTCTTCCATACTAACAGTAAAGCAAAAATGGCACAAACTTATTTCCCTTCGCCATCTTACTTGCAAGTATATATTTATTCATACCTAAAATGTTACCTGTACATCACTTCCTCTATTCTGTAGCATAAAAATAACTATTGCAACATGCCCTTAGAAGAAACTTCTAAAACTCATTGGCTACACCTTGCCCTAGTAGCTAACACAGGCTGGATATTGTTCTCCAGTCAGGAGGCAAACCTGCACTGCTTGATTTGTGACTATACAGCCAAAATTGCTTTCCCCTCTCCCCCATCCAGAAAAGGGTGGCCATGTCCCATGTCTGTTTGGAGAAGTCCTGGCATTTGCCACCTTTGAATAATCACAGAATCACAGAATCACTTTGGTTGGAAAAGACCTTTGAGATCATCGAGTCCAACCTTTAACCTAACCCTGCTATCCCACCACTAAACCATGATGCCCAGGTATGGCTATGGATGCCTTTGGTAGCGTGCCTGGAAGGCCACAGATATCACACTGCCTTAGAACACAGAGGGAAAGGGAAAATACTGCAGGTCTGGTAAGCTGCAAAACACAATAAAAAGTACAGTCCATGAGAACTGGAAATCCCTGCACAGAGGTTTGCCCACTGTGAAGTTCCACCATCATCAAATTTCAATGAAACAGTCCCTTATACTACTAAAGGGAGAACACAGATCTTTATTAATAGATCACACCAAAATTCAGGTCAACAAATGGCTCTTCGACTTGAATAGATAAAAGAATTGGGAAATGTGGACTGCAGTGTTGATCTAGATGGCACTGTATTTGACACTAATGGTACAATAAATTAAAAATATTTGAGATGTTTTGTTCCCCACAATTACATATTGCATTCAATAAAGAAAGAAAAATAGACACAGGTCTTCTGACATACAAGAACATCTGAAAAATCAAGTTTTCTTTTCTCTTATTTCATAGTCTACCAGCCTACAATCTGATTTTTCCATTAGCTGAAAATTAAGTGGCAGTGTTAAAAGAAACAAGAGACTACTCCAGTCTCAGTTTCTCAATTTTAATCTCAGACTGTTTACAATGACCCATTCTTTTCATTTTTGTTAGCTACTACCTAACAACAATCAACTAGGCTGGAAGAGGGAGGAGAAATTGTACTTCTGAGCTACTGCAGAACTATATTATGATCCACAGTGTTAAAAGCAGCCACTGGCTTTGGTTTGCCTACATTTCAGCAGCCAAAGTCCATACCATTAATTAAGCAGGAAGCAGCAACAGAAGGTTTATGTTTGCTTTTGGGGTGAGCAGAGCTTGCACAGACTGTGTCCTTCGACAGAACCTATGGCTCTTCAGAATACTTTTCACCCACTGGAGCCATTTAGAAGACAAATTTTCTGCTACAAAAGAGCTGTTTTCCAGATCCTAGCACAGACAGACACTTCATGCAATCACAGACGGTGAGATGCTGTTGTGGAGCGAAGCGCACAGTTTGCTGAGCACTGCATTGTTTTTTCTATCTGAGGACATGGAGTATAGAAGACTCTTAAAACAGACTGGTGACTCCCTGATTTTGGCCCAGCTATAAGAACTTGCTTTCCTCTATCCCTGACGCTACCAGGTCATGTAAGGCTTGCAAGAAGGAACACTGTGAAGCACAGGAAGCAGGCAGCAGCACAAAACTGGAACTTTCAGCTACAAAAATACAGAAAAATGGCACTCCAGAGAAGCGCGACACCAGAATCCAGACAAAGGTCCTCCCTACCACACCAAAACCTAGCAACAAAGGTGCAGACGTGCAGGCACTCTACCTTTCTCCTCAGAAAGCTCCCACACGCACCGCCACCAACCCTCTCCGCGGAAACAAGCCAGCAGCGTGAAACAAATGATTTCACCGTGGGATGCAAACCCGGGCAAACCTGAGCTTGCCCCGCTAGCCGGGAACCGCGGAGCCCTCCGTTACCTCACCGCCTCCCAGCCAGACGGGAGAGCCGGCCTCCCCCGGGGCGGCCCTCACCGGCAGGGCCGGCGAGGG